TCAAAAAACAATTTGGGACATTATTTCTTTACATGTTGACGGCTGCGAGGATTGTATTTACTAAGCACTGGGAAAGAGATGCTGACTGTTAAAGAATGGATTCTAAAATTGACTGAATTAACAAAAATGGCAAAATCAACTGCTTTTATTAGAGACAATGGACTAGAAAGCTTTATAAGAGACTGGGCTAACCTGTTGACTGTTCTTTATATATCAAGAAAAATATATAAACAGATAAGATGTTGGGTCAATTTGATTACTAGATAGAGACCTTCTCATCTGAAATAGTTGTTTATATATTTTTCTTGTAAAATAAGGATAAGAAAGCTTATAATTATTTGCAGACCTATTATGTAAGGGGAGGAGAATTTATCAGGTATTTTCTTCTCAGCATCAACAGCGAGTTAGGGTTTTTTTTTGTACGTTTAATGTTAGACTTATTTGATGTTTGGGTCATTATTATTTTGTACACAACTTTTGTTGTTACTGTTGGATGTATGTTTTTCTGTTTTCTTTGTTTTGCATTTTATTCCTGTTGATAAAACATATTAAAAAATATCGTCCTATTTTATATAACATTCATTCTGCTTTCTTGATAGCATTAACAAAATCGAGCAGAACGGTGCAATACCTACAAAATAAAATCTCACTGAATTAAACGGAATATGCTTTTTTTGCTTAGTTTCGCACAGGATCGCGCCGTGAAACTTCATACAGTACAGTGCTGTAATTTGGAAACCTTTTCAAACTTTTCTTGCGCAGCCGCTTAATGGTACAGAACAAAAGACATGTTAAATGTTAATTTCAACATGGAATTATAAATACCGCAACTTTGATAAGGAGAGTGAAAAAAATGCAGCTCCATAATCTGCCTCATCTAAACAGAACTTTTTAATTAGCCAAAGATAGGTAAGAAGACGCTTCTAATCTTTCGCGCCTCTAACCTGCCCCGGCAAGCTTCAACTACAACTCCCAGCAAACATTGCTTCCGGAAGTTTTGAGGGAGCTGCTGAGGGTGATTCTTCTATTTGTAGATGGGTTCGTTGAACCGAGCCTTGGTATTCTTACCCGCTGCATGCGGAGAAACTGTGGTTGCCGCCCTCAATGGATTTGGAGACTGTTGCTACGTGAACAACGACATTGCCGGGATACGAGGAGATCCTTCTAGACCGGCGTTCGTGTTAGCCTCCAAATTTGTAATTTTGGGCCTCCCTTCGACGGTAGCGCTTAGTTAACTGAGCAGGCTGGCGATAGCTCGGTTTTGTACTCTGGGCGTGCTCATCGGCAGATTGCAACTCTGCTGTTTAAAATCACATTAAAATCGGTTAAGGCACGGTAGGTAAGGTGAGTTGCCCATCTGCTACTGTTTTAAGAAGATGTACAAAATGTAGATCAGGGGAGGAGACCCGAACATCTGGCATACAATCTTCTGCGGCACACCCGTGGGAACTCAGCCCTAACACATAGCGAGGGGAGGGCTGGAGTAGGGAACAACTTCCTTACCAACGAACGTAAAATGTCCTACTCCCCACGTAATGATTTTTTTTGGGGGGGAGGGGGGAGAGATCTAGGAGCTCGTGCATTACATTGACTAGTTATATTTAAACGTGAGTGAAATCTCGTCATTCACATATTATTAAATTTTTCGAACGTAAGATTTTAAAAACACTAAATAAGGAAGGATATTCTAATAGGATAAAAGTTTTGTCCAAATAAGCAGATGGAATATCCTCAATAAAATGCTGCTGTGAAGTTCTCCCGTTTAGTCTTCTCAGCTGCTCCCTTTTCCGTTCTCCCTGCTCCTACTGAATTTCCTTAGAATTGTATTTCTCTCCACTGCCCCCATCACTGGATGTTTCAGAGAATGTCTCCATCAGATTATTTTCGATCTTTTTGATAACCTTTTGTGTGAGCAATTTTAAAAACTACGTGTGTTGGAAGAATTTGAGGGATTGAGTCATTGTCAATATGCAATTTACTTTCATGCAATATGGCTGTTATTTAGTGGTATCCTTTTGGTTCAAATTTATTTTATATATGTTGTTCTGAAAGATTTGCTATTTTTTGTAGATACTCATGTTCTTAAGTATGTAACAGATTTTGGAATAAACTAAAGGATAACAAAAGTGAATGGCTTATTTCATTTTTATGATTATAGACTGCTTTCCAGTTATAAGCATGGAGGAAAATGCAACATAAGTCTGAATAGCTTGCATTTCTTTGTTTGAATAAACAAATTTAAATGTGAATAATTCTGCAATATAAGACCTGTATTTGTGTGTTTGTGTGTGTGTGTATAGCTGATTCCTGCTAATTGTGAATTTTGTATTTGCAAATTTGCTTACTCAAATTTATTTATAAACAAAAACCAATACTTGCGGTGTAACACTCTCATGCAGAGCAGGGAGAAATTTGAGTCTCCTGATAAGCATATTTCCAGTTGAGGTTTCAATATTTGCTACTGTTTATGCTGATTGTATAGAATGGAACTACCGCAAATGAGAATACTGCAAATGAGAAAATTGTGTCTTGTTAAATTTGACACACACACAAATCTAGTTTTTATAAGTAGTTTTGCTTTTTTCTCTTTTGTGCATTATTTTAAAATATGTTTGGAACAGTTCACAGTGCAACCCTTTCCACATTAATATTGGCTGCTTAAATTGGCCATTGATATCCTACTTTAAATTAAATGCAGAAATCTTTCTCCTGCATATCATTGTTGCAGGGGCTGCACATGACAGGTTTGATTGGTGGTATACTGAAAGACCCATTTAGTTGAAGACTACTGTTGTTTGCAGATATTTTTCAGGGCAGTGACCAAACTAATTCAATCACATCCCATTATCCTATTTTTTTAGAAGTTCAACACTTAGCTTATGTAATCACAAAATATCGATACTGTTTGTTTTATGGCAGTTTCTTTAAGTCTTGTTTCCTGTATCTTTTACATCTGCATTATTTGACTTACACACTTATTAGTGTGTTTTGAAAGCCATTCTATCAAGAAGTAATTTTAAAGTTGAATATAGATCACAAGCTTCTAATCATCAGAGGTCATTTTTAACACTTCTCTTTTGCTAAGTGGTTATGCAGAATCAGTTTGTAAAAATACATACACATATTCCAGAATTACTGTGTTCAGTAATTTATTCCAGGCTCAAGGACTGCATTTAGTAATGAGTATCTGCAGCAAATTTAGAGTATATGTGGAAGTAATTAACAGAACCCAGTCTTAAAAGAAAGATCAGACTCCAATAGATCTGGTATAGAATAGCAAGTACAACACACAAATTGTCAGAAAAATGAATTATTGTCAACTTTCACTAATTTTATGTTTTGTATAAGAAGTATCAAAATTTTGATGCATAATATAAACATTCTAAATACATTAAATAACATCAAGGGAAAACAAGCAAAAAAGTGGCAACTTTAATAGAGATCATTGCTTTTAGTCCAAAATCTTTTTTTGAAAAGCAGGGAAAAAACCATGGTTGTATAGTTACCAGCTATATTTTAAACTTATTCATTTTTCTACCAACTTACCAATTTTATACCACCTTTTATTACACAATATTAGAAAGCAAAACACTGCATCTTAGCAGTAATCATAGCACCAAGAGTAGAAATGTCCTGCACAAACACAGAATTGTAGCATCATGAAAACTTTTAGAACAGTGGTTCTCAACCTGTGGGTCGGGACCCCATTTGGGGTCGATCGACCATTTCACGGGGGTCGCAAGCAAGGCTGTCCGCCATTTTTTTTGTCCGCCATTTTTTTCCCCTTTTCCGGCGGGTGCCTTACCTCCCTTGGGCTGGGCCAGCTGGTGGTCGGCCTGCTCAGTCTCTGCCGCTTGCCAGCTACACCTCGGCCAGCGCAGGGGGCGGAACCACGCATGCGCGGCGCTCCCGGGCAGGGAAAGTCCTCGACTTACGACCGGTTGGGTAGTCCTCGACTTATGACCGGTTTAGTCCTCGACTTACGACCGGTTTAGTCCTCGACTTACGACCGGTTTAGTCCTCGACTTACGACCGGTTGGGGTCACGGCATTAAAAAGGTTGAGAACCACTGTTTTAGAATTTGGGATGCTTACTTGTCAGAAAATAGAGTTAGCAAGAACAAGGTGTTCTACAAGGATGTTTTTGATAATGTATTAGAACTGTTTTAATATTCTTTATATCACAGTGCAATAAAAAATGGTCTAAGTCTGTTTCATATTTAACATGTGACAAGATATTCATTCCTCAAATGGGAACTTCTTCCATATAAAATATAAGTTCTTTTGTTGAAAAATGTTTGTGTATGTAAAATTTTGTCTTCTCAATGGAACATCCTCAGAGGCCATCTATCTTTCTGTAAGTATTTATGCTGTATGTTTTCTAAGACAAGAAGATAAGTTTTCTTTGTTGTCTAAATAAAGCAGAATTTCTGACTGTAATTCTGTGGAGTCCTTGCTGCTCTCTGAGCTTGGTTGTTTGCTTGCAGGCAAGCATTACTTTACCCAACTAGATTATCATCTGATAATGTTAACACCAATGTTACTGCTTGGGTAATGAAATGTCTGCAAACTAACATCAAAGCTTAGAGAACACCAAGGACTCTACAGTTCAACCCTGAATTACACATATTCTCTTCTATTTTAATTGTAATTCTGGAAGAAAAGCAGCTTATTCATTTTACCTGGTTGGTTGCGGCCCTTTGAAATGATGATTTGTTCTAAGACTGAGTAGAGCAGGGATGTCAAACTGCCAGCCCGTGAGCCAGATGCATCATGCGAAACCGCGCCCACCCCAGTTCCGGCAATAGGAAAAAAAGTCACGATATGTCGCGACACGTCACATGATGGGGCGAGTTTGACACCCCTGGAGTAGAGGAAACTTGATTATTGTTCTAACTATACCACATTTTTAATGTAACCTGTCTGAATGTAAAAAACAAGTAGCCCTTCAATCCTTTTGAAAAAAATAAAGTAGTGCTTTTTCAGTCCTTTTTAACATTTATTTTCATAATGAACTGTAGCAGCATGAGGTCAATCCTTCAGAATATTTTCTTTGCACTTTTTAAATTTGGAGGATCTTCTCTTTTCTTTTTGTTTTCGGCTAACATACTGTTCCCAGGTAATTATATCCTTTTCTGTTGGATAAAAGCATCAGGATTATTACAGTAATGTTCATGGTACATAGTTACTCTGTTTTGATGACATTTCATTAGGTGCACTCATTTATGTACATCTCAATCAGATTGATTTGATCTATAAAGCAGCAATGGAAAAAAATTACCATTCTGCAACTGTTGATCAAGGCATCTCCTGGCTTTTTCTGTGTAACTGTCCATCTTTATCTTCAATTAACTGTTGGTCCACCAAGAAAGGAGGCCTAGGCCGGGTTCACTAATAGATCCCTTAATGAAAAATTGTAAAAATTAACATTTGAATTAATATGCATTTAATATATTTTGAGTTGACGCTCTCCAGGTCTACCCCTTTGTAACTGTTCAAAAAATAACATGAATATCTACCAATACTTGGGTTCTAGACCATACAGACTCCATACAGTCATAAACAAAAATCTGTGCCTAGCTTTACATTCTATGAATGCAAAACATTTGACAAAAATATAATTGTTCAGCTCCATATTTAAACTATACCTTCACATTCTACTCTCTTTCCCTCCATTCTTAGAAGCTAGTATAAAACTACACGGGTGCAAAATGTTTTATTTTTAGCCATTTTGAACATAAAACATCTTCCCTCAATTGCAGAATTGCAACTTGATTGCAGAATAGGAACAGTAAATTCATACTGGAACCAGGTTGTTCTGGAAAAGTTTCATGCTCCAGATACTTCAAAATGAAACATTCTGCACATCGTTATAAAAGCAACTAGATTTTTTAAACTGGAAATTCTTCCCCCGTCCATGACTAATTAAATAGAATTGAAGCTATTGATACTTGAATGGAAAATCACCAGGAAATCTCAGTATTGTTGTAGACAATACTAGGTTGTGTGCATGTCTGCGCGTATTCCAGAGGAAAGCAATGTGTACTGCTGCCACCAAAAGTGTATGGATGGATTACAGTAATCACCAGACATTAAACTTGATTTGAGATAGTCTTTTCCTTTTATTTCTCCATTTAGGAACCTCTTTATTTTAAAGGGTTCTAAAGAAAAGTACATACCACAATAGTGTAGGGTGCTTCTTTCTTCTGTGTCTCCTCAGTGCCACTAGATGTGGAAGGCTCTACAGAGCTTGGGCCTGTTGGGGATGTATCAATGAAAGTTTCATCCACCACACGGAAACGTATTTCTTCTCCTGTATCCATGTACAGGTCATGGGCTCCTTCGTCAGTCTCATATTCCCAAACCCATACTTGTTCTGTTTCATCGCTGGGTACATGAAAAGGTTAAGGCAACAATGTGACAAAAAACAACTGTTCTCTAACATCCTATAGGGTAGAGCATGGAGTAATGATTTTATTTGCAAAAGAACAGATTCTGGTTGAGTGTTAAGAAGTTTTAATGGGACTGATAACCATAGGAGATTGGGGATTCACATTTATTGGATGTATTCAAACAGGATTAGGCAATCATGTTTTTCTCTAAATCCCAGATTTAATATATTAGTATCAATGGCCTAAATAGTCTAATTGTAAGCTTTATGATACTACCGGTAAGATACTACTTCATTAAGACATATAATATGATATATTTTTTTGTTAATTTCATCTCTACTGCATTTTTTATCAGGATAATTCTTGCTGATTTTACTAAGTCTAAGGCTTAAAATAAAATATTTTCTAACAAACTAAACAGACTTAAAAAATTAAATAGAAATAAGCCTGATCTGAACAGATTTGTCATTATTATTAATTTGGTTGGTCGCACAGTAAACCAGATTTTGAGACTGGATTTGGCATTTTTATCCACCTATGACAGTGGTGGCGAACCTATGGCACGGGTGCCAGAGGCGGCACTCAGAGCCCTCTCTGTGGGCACACGTGCCGTTGCCCCAGCCTTGCCTCCCCCCGTGACCCCCTCCTCTCCAGCAGCCCCCCTGAAGGAGAGTCGCCCTCGAGCGTGGCCCACACGGAGCAATGCAGCCAGGGACATGGCAGCCAGGCAGCGTAGCCAAGACTCTGCCCTCACACCCCATCATGCAGTTGATGCTGCAGGGCGCGGGCAGAGGGTGTGGCCACCATAGCGCTGCTGGGCTGCCTGGGCGATCTGCGGCGGGCCCTGGAGGCAGTGAGTGATCCTGTGGGCAGGTGGGGGGGCAGAGCGGGGGCAGTTTTTGGGCACTCGGTCTCTAAAAGGTTCGCCATTGAAAGTCCTTTTCACCTATGAAGTCCTTTTCAAAGGCCTGGAAAAGGCAGATGTTGTTTAATGACATTAAAGTTATCATTTCTGGATGTAAGTTGTTCCAAGTAAAGTTGCTTTTTGCAATTGACTAATGGTGACTTTTTGATGCCGATGGTGTTCAAGTGGTGCTCCAGTGTTTTGCAATCGCACTCCACATGCCTATTATGTTTGATATTATCTTTGCTTTCTTTTGCCACAGTCATTCTATTTCATTTCATTTCATTTCATTTCATTTCATTTCATTTCATTTCATTTCTATTCTATTCTATTCTATTCTATTCTATTCTATTCTATTCTATTCTATTCTATTCTATTCTACAGGTCTTCAATTTTGTGATTTTTTCCCAGTTCTCTTCTGCCTATTACTGCCTATTATTATTCTATTGAATGTAATGTTTTTATAGAGCTACCTGAAGGATACAATTTGGCAGGCTGTTGTAGAGATTCTGGAGGAATGAGTATGTCATCAAAGAACCCAAGAGAAACTGTGGAAAGATCAATTAATGAAGTAGCCACTTAAATACAACATAATAGCACTTGCTTAAGCCTTAGATTGCCCAATAATGTGAGAAAAAATTGACAATACACCTCTAAAAATATTACAGCATTCACAGTAATCAGCTCTAGACAAATTTAAGAGTAATACTTAAATACAGGCAGTCCTTGACTTACAACCACAACTGTGCCCAAAATTTCTGTTGCTAAGGAAGACATTGGTTAAGTGAATTTTGCCTCATTTTATGAACTTTCTTGCCACAGCTGTTAAGTGAATTACTACAGTTGTTAAGTTAGTAACATGGTTGTTAAATGAATCTGGCTTCCCCATTGACTTTGCTTGTCAGAATTTTGCAAAAGGTGATCACATGGCCCTGGGACACTGCAACCATCATAAATATAACTCAGTTGCCAAGCATCTTAATTCTGATCATATGCACAGGGATGCTGTAACAGTTCTGTGAAAAATGGTCATAAGTCACTTTTTTCAGTGTCGTAACTTCAAACAGTCACTAAAGAAACTGTTGTAAGTCAGGGACTGCCTACATCTAGTTAAAGCTGCTCAGCTCTAAATTTTAAAGTGCATTTACAAAATAAAAACTATATATATCTATAAACATACCACTAATTGTGTATTTTACATATAATCTTCTCAACATTATACTTAAGGTTACAGTGACTACAGGTCCTTGCCACTTCTCAAAGGGCAGGATTAAAGAGACATACCCTTATAATAATTTTACACAAAACCCAATAAAACACTATCAAATAATACAGCAAATACATTGGCTCTCTGATTCAATAAAGTTTGATTTTGCTATCTCCCAGATTTCTAAAGAGTAGACATTATTAGATTGATTTTAAATGACAAAAATAAAATTGCTGAAACAGCAGACAAGAAATTAATCAGACAGGAATCAGTTACAGATTTGTTTTGAAACAAATTCATCACATCTTGGTTACCTTGGTTACATACCACAGCATAATACTTTCCACTATTTTTTATTACTGGTACATGTTTTGAAAAAAAATCTTTGTAGTAGCTATCATCATTTTAAATAATAAAAAAACTTACCATGTACACCTTCAAGACTGCAGCCTTTTATCTCTCCAACCAGAATTTCATCCAAAAATGGATGAAATACAACATACCTAAAATGTACTAAAAAAAGCAGCAAGTATCATAAATCTGATCCGGAGCTTCTTACCTTTTATTTTTATTACATAATGCAGATTAGCTAATTTAAACACTGATTTTAATAACAAATGCAACAGGTTTGAAATGCATAGGTGTTTAACAGTTATTAAACTATCTTTAAATTTGTTCTAATCCATTGATATTGATCCATTGATGTCATTATACTATTCTGCAAACTTTTTCATTATGTATTTTGTAATTTCTATATACCGCTTCTTTTCCTTTTAAAAGACTAAACTAATGAAAATTAAAACTAAATTCAAATAATAAATTAAAACATAATAAATCAATATCTTACTGTATTATGAATAAAGTAACCGGCACTGCAAGGTAGAACTTCATAGGCATAGGACATTGCAGATGTTTCTTTTGCAAGTTGAAAACTAACCTATTAAATGCCCTTTTAAAAATGCACATTTGTATTAAATTAGAATAAAATTAACCCCATTAGCAAGCTGAACGTCTACAATATGTGCCAATTTGTTCATGATTTCTCAATCATCAATATCTGCTTTAATAATGAAGAATTGCTTAATATTACTATATAACATACTGTATTTAATCATATGCTAATTCACTATCATACTAAGTTAACAAAAATTGAACTAGGATATATTGCAGGATGAAAAATCCTTAATTCTCTAGAATGGAACAATAATACATGGAATATATCATAAATTTTTACTTTATATTAAGGAAAAATAGTGCCAAGAATAAAATGGGAGTTAAATATTTTTAATTAAATACTGAGTCTTGTAGCTCTCAGTTTCTCCACAAATCTGAAGAGGTCTAATTTAGATATAGTTGTCAAACCTTTTGTGTGTGATGCACCATCTCCTGGGAATATGTAGGAATCCTCCAGCTTTGTAATATCATATAGACAGATACAGAGGCCAACATTATATACAACCTGAATACAGTAGAATGAGGGAGAAATGAGTGAGGTCCAGAGAGCAACAAATTGCAATTATCAGAAAGTTCAGGTAAAAATATGTTCAAAAGAAAAGCCACATAACTGAATATTACTAATGATTATGTCATTTATATCTCTAAACATTTCAGCCAGGTGATTCCAAGAAGAGTACAAGAATGAAAATAAAAAATAAAAAATGACAATCCCTGACAAAAATGACAATCAGCTGGAGATGAATAGAAAGAAACATGAACAGCCAGCCTTTTGTGATGAATTGCAAATCAATTCTATAGTACTATACTATGTATTAACAGTACAAGAAACATTCTAAATAAACTGATGAAAATTTGGAGACCATTTTTCAATTTTTTTCTAATTGAGGAACATACTTAATAACCTCCAGTGTTCAAACTGTTATCCCTGATTACTGTTGCCTGCCGCTCACGGGAATTGTAACTTAAAATAAGGTTACCGCAAGCTTGCTCAGTAATTAACAGCTGAGTTTCCTAGCTTCTTCAAAATTCACAATTCTGTTATGGCACGTTGCCATATACTACAGTCTATTTTATCAAATACATGAATTACCCTGAGACAGAAATAGGCACTAATGGTTTGATGCAGCATTTAGAATCAATTTGTTTGAACTTTTAATAATTACCTTATTGGCCAACTTCTTATTTAACTCTTCAGTGATTGCATCATTAAGCTTTCTTTCAAATTGCCATGGAGGAATTCGCACTGTATCTGTCATCTCTACTAACACAAACATGTTGGCCAGCAAAAGCACTATACCTAGATCTAAAAAAAAAAGAGCTGTAAGGCCTTTAGGAAAATAATGAGCATGTTTATCACCTCAACTACAGCCCTACTATTTGTGGGATTTGATGGCACTTTTATCCCTTGTTGAGACAGTAAAGTGGTTATATTTTTTTCACACTGGTCACAATGGCTTTTTCTAAAATCAATCCTAGACCAATATAATTAAGGAAAATGGTGTTTTTCCAGAAATTGAGTTGTGGTTTCATCAAGAGAATTGCCACCACTGGATTTCTGTTTATTTTAATATAGTAGGGAATGCCATCCAGCAGAGTTCCACAACCCAGTCCTTTCAGCTTTTCCAAGAAGGCTCCACACCCATTTGTAGTACTCAGGTGATCCTGAGGACACAGACTAACCTCCAAGTAGCCTCAACAACTGTCTAAATTAGAATGCAAACGACCAGCTGCCTGCAAGGAGTACAAATCCTTCCATTCTCCACCATCCAGTCAGAGCTGAAGAAGCTTCTGGGATGAGAAGCGAAACATCCTCAAAGAAAAAACAAAAAAGTCCAGTTGCCTCTTGAAAAAAGCAACTTTGGGACATTCTTGCTCGTACGTAACACGTGGGAACTTGGATGACGTTGCATGCAGGCAAACTTTCCCTTTACCCTACACCCCACAGATTCCCCAGAAGAACGAGGAGCTCCGGCTGAGAAAACTACGGTCAGTGGCTCCGGCTCCCTAGTTCCTCTTGGTCTCCACTTACCCACATTGTCGATCCCCGGGTCAACAATTTCTTCTCGGTCGCTGGTTCTCTTCGACCACAATGGGAGTAAAGCTGGGTAGTTCCACAGACGACCTTTATGCGAGAGACGGATACTCTCCAAACCATCGGACCATCAGTTGCATGCCAGCATCTTCTGTTAAGGCGACGGGGCACGACGGGGGACAGGCTAGCAGCATGCCCCGGAAGCTGTTCCCAAGGGGACTACGCACAAGCCATCAGCGAGTTGGTGTAACGGAAGGAAAAGATAGGAAGCAAAGCGGTGCATTCCGAGAGTCTGCCCCCAACAGGTCTACTCCAGTAGTTTTTGGAACTGGTTTGGGGAAATTAGGACTTCTCCCCGTCTATACCAGGGGTTAGGCAACCTCGGCTCTTTTATGACTCATGGACTTCAACTCCCAGAATTCTTGAGTCAGCCATGCTGACTCAGGAATTCTGGGAGTTGAAGTCCATGAGTCATAAAAGAGCCGAGGTTGCCTACCCCTGGTCTATACAATATTTCGAACGGTTAACTTGCTTCATGAAGCGGTGATTATATTTTTTTCGGAATCGGTTGGATAATATCAGCCTGCTTTTGTTTGAAAATACGTTCGGATTTAAATTAATTGGATTCGACATTGGATAATATCAGCCTGAATTTGTGTGAAAAAAAAACGTTCATTTCAGTTCTATTTACACCCATATATTCTGGTATGTTAAACAGGAAGAGGGAAACTGATATAAAAAATCCACTCCCTGTCCAAAACATTGCGCCAAAAAAGACTTAATCTCACGGGAACCGTGGCAAGATGTTTCAATAACGTTGGCGAGGACTCATCAGCTTAATTCTATTTAATCTAGTTTATTGAGGTATTATGAAAAAATAGAGGGAGAACCTTATGTGCTACCTTGACTTTCTAAAGGAAAGAAAGGTTATAACTTGCTAATCAATCTGTTCATTTCTGATGTACCAAAGATATTTTTATATAATCGGCTGTCTTATCCATACTTTTGAACAAAGTTGTGTATTTGCGGAGAAAACCGTTCCAGCCAACGGATGAGATCTGCTTCACTATATTGCAATGCTCATTCAATTTCCCGCGCTTCTATCATCTTGAGCTGAACTACAATTCCCAGCATTCGTTACTTCTAGGTCCTGATTTTCTGAATCGTTGGGCATATAGCGATCGCTGTACTGCTAAAAAAAAATATTGTAGATTTTTATTTAACGAGCTAAAGGAACAATCTGCTCACCGTGCTATCGAAAGCAAGCAGAAGGTGGAATTATTCTTGATGCTAAGCATCTTAAATGGTTTGTCGGAAGATTCATAGTGCTACCCGGCAATCACAGAGGTCGCCTGCTTCGAGTTCCGGGCCTTTGGGCAGGAGGAGCGCTGGGCTCGCGTGAGTGGACGTCTAAGATGTCGGCGCCGTTGGCGGTAATTTCAGGTAGGGTGCGAGGTGGAGGGCGAGAGGAGATGCGGGTGGGTCGGTTTCGGACGTCTTTTTTTCTTGGAGGCGCTACAGGTGCCGCCCGGTTTCTCCCTTATTGATGGAAAACTGAATTATTTTAAGGCCGCCGTTTTGGATACGAGTTCATAGCTTTCCCTTTTCGCTTCGCGCAATTCTTTACGCAGCAGCTCAAAACTGAGTAGAACATTTACTTCCAAGAAGATTTATGGGCTTGCTGCTTTACTTGCACTTCGGTCTTGGTCTAAAACAGCACCGAAAAAAATAATCCCTTGGATCTTGCAGGAGCCGCCGACCTTACAACAAACCTTGTGCGGCTCCCAATCAAAAAAATCACATTTATGTCAATCAGTTTTTTTGACTAATACGGCCGAGAAACTGGGAAATGTTACTCTAGGCGGCTAATAACACAGTACATTAAAAACATCATAAAAACGGTAAGAGTAAAACCTATAACGGCGACTGAGAGCAGACCTAGAGTTTTTCAAATAGGTTCTTCCGTGATGAAAATTCGAATTCTTAAACATTCTTTGAAGGACCACAGGAAATCTGAATTATTGTCCTCAGGTATTTTGACTGTCAGTGGAACTGTGATTGTTTTTCTTGCAACAACACAGGTAGTGTCCTTGACTTAAAACAGTTGATTTAATGCCCATTCAAAGTTGCAAAAGTCCCTAAAAAAAGTGACTTAATGATCATTTTTCACACGACCACTGCAGCATCCCCATGGTCGTGTGATTGCAATTCAGATGCTTGGCAACTACTCATTTATGACAACTGGAGTGTCCTGGGGTCATGTGATCAGCTTTTGCAATGTTCTGACAAGCAAATGGGAAAGCCAGATTCATTTAACAGCCATACAGTGATTCACTTAACAAGTGTGGCAAGAAAGGTCATAAAATGGGGCAAAATTAACAACCTCTGGTTACTGCCATTGCATATAATTAATATAATTTAATTTTTTTGTAAATCTTGTATATTGTAGCAATGTTTTTATTGTAATTTTATTTAATTGCAACACATATATATTATTTTCAGCTGCCAGTTTGTGGGGGCCATACAAAGATATTTGGCAGGCAGTGGTTAATGCTATATGGAAAAGGCAATCTGAAGCAATACATGTTCTTGACCAGATTTTAAAGAAACACAAAGCTGACTTTATATCACTCTTCAGAAATCCGGTAAACAAACTTTTATTTTATTGGGAGGTGTGGAAAAAAGAGTTGTGTTGGTATTATTCTTGTTTCTTAAAATTTGCTTTATATTTTACTTGAATTAAAACTTTATATAATGTTGTCAGAATGAGGTATTTTAATAATATTACAATGAAGATAATATTTCTTCATAGACATCTATATTTCAAACTGATAATAGATAATGGAAAGGGATTTTTGGTTGTATTTTTTTAAAAAGAATATAATATTGCCCAGTACAGTCAAGTTAAATGGGAAGTGACAGCTCACTTGAGAAAAATAGATTAGCTCAATAACTAAAATAATGATTTCTGTGCTAGGAAAATATCTGAATTTACATTTGGGAGAACTTGAATAGAGCTGCAACAAGCTATATTGAAACACTGCTTTTCTCCTTACCCCTTAAGACAGGGGTGTCAAACTGCCGGCCCACAGGCCAGATACGTCATGTCAAAACCGCACCCACCCCATTGCCGGCAAAGGAAAAAAAGTCGCAATACGTCACAACACGTTGTGAGTTTGACACGTCTGCCTTAAGACATAGTGATAAATCATCTCTTGTATGATTTAGTGGAAAGATTTCCTAGCAAAATAGGATTTGAACAGTGCTGTATCCCCAACCAGAATTATGAATCCTCATTTGAACATAGTTAGCAATTTCCAACATTATTACTTTTAAGATATTGGAGACTTTCTTTTTAAGAAACAGAAATATCCTAACTAATTCTTAAGGTGCTGGGTACACATAGTCAGGATATCTTATATACATGTTAAGCCATAATCCATAGTTCACAGAACATGATGAGTAAAGACATAAAAAACATTAATCCAAAATTTAGTATACCACATTATACAATATAGTACAATGTACAATCACAGTCAATTTAAATCAGTTATAGATTATGTTTTACTGTATTAAAGATGTTAGGAAATGTGAAATATATTGGAGTTTGGTCAATGATTTAAAATATACCACGCACATGTTTGCAGAATTTATTCCTGGGAAGAATATTATGGGAAACATTGAAATGGTTTATGCTTCTACCAAATTTTCAGTTCCAGTAAAATTACCAAACCACATTCTGATGCATTCCAGAAGAAAACTAGACTAATTCGATATTCCCTATAACATTCTATCCATAAAACAGTGTTTTGTATTTTCCTAGTACAATACTTTTCAGCTGTATTTTAGTACAAAGTTTTCAATGTCGTTTTGAGAATAATTAGACATTTTAAAAAATTATTTTGTAGCCAAAGAATGCCCAACAGCATGAAAAAGTTCAGAAAGCAAATACAGAGGGAGTTGCTATCCAAGGTCAACAGGGGACCCGATTGTTACCAGAACAGCTCATCAAAGAGGCCTTTATTCTGAGTGATCTTTTTGATATTGGAGAATTGGCAGCTGTTGAACTACTACTGGCTGGTAATGTGATGAGACCCGACTGTCACTTCTTTTATTTTCTGATTATGTTCTAATAGTGCAGGATTCCTATAAATGCCAAATGCTCAAGTATATCAAGAATCTTCTTCCAGGTGCTTTCCTATGCTAAGATGCAGTGCTAGGGATAGTGTTTTTCTGCACAAGCACTAGCCTACCTAATCCAGCAACCTTGGAATGGAAAACTCCTCCTGAGCAAGACACAACTCTCTCTTTCTTTTAATACCTAGAGAGATATTTTTTAAAACTTTCTAGTATTTAAACTTATGAATGTGTTTAATATTTAATGCTTATGCTTGTTTCAGTTGAGCTTTTTAAATTGTGCCTGTCTATGCATTTACTGTATGTACATTATGCATTTTCATATATGATTTTCAAATGTTGTAAACTTGCCCTGAGAAAATGTTGTTTTGAAGGGCAGCATGTAAATTTTTCAAATAAATACATAAGAGTTATATCATATTACATGTCCAGGTTTAAGTATATTTAAGTATTAACTCTGTATCCAGAAGGAATTGTTGGTTTTATTTGACTAATTGTACTAATAAAATTAGCTAGGAAGGCTGAGAAGATCCTAGAATATATATAAAAAAAAACCTATATGTTACTCCTTTTAGATTGAAAAAGATTTTTCAAAAGTCAGTTATTAAAGTCATGTGTTTTAATAACAATTTTAGTTAATATGTTGCTTTGAAAAATAGTGACTTATTTTTAAGCCTTATCAAAAGCATCTATTTTTAGGTTACTAAGAGAAACTTGAAGGTATTCATATCGTGGCTAGTGAAATAGAGATAGGCTACTAACTATGATATGGGAACATTTTACAGTGTAAACTAAATGCTCTGTTACTGATCTATAATGATATGTGGCGTGCTTATATACATTTAGTTGTCACACTTTGAGTTTTGATTAAAAAAAATGTTGGTTTTCTAATTTCTTTCTGTAGGAACTGGAAAAGATACCATGATGCAGAGATAGTGGATAATGCTCAGTTTATACATGGCAGAGAGGAGGGCTGTACCCTTAGTTACTGTTTTTAGAATATTAGTAATGGGAACAAAATTGGAGAGGACTGAGTCAGAGGTGAACTTGAGCATTTTATTAAGGAATATTTCATATATTCTGCTCCCCTTCCCTGTTACAGGTAGTCCTCGATTTACAACACTTCATTTAGCGACTCTTCAAAATTACAACTGCACTGAAAAAAGTGCCTTGTCACCATTTTTCACACTTATGACCATTGCAGCATCCCCATGGTCACTTGATCAAAACTCAGATGCTTGGCAACTGGTTCATATTTATGACAGTTGCAGTGTCCCGGAGTCATGTAATCACCTTTTGTGAACTTCTGACAAGCAAAATCAATGGGAAAACCAGATTCCCTTAACAACTGTATTATTAACAGTTGCAGTGATTCACTTAACAACTGTGCCAAGGAAGGTTGTAAAATGAAGCAAAATTCACTTAACAGACATCTCACTTAGCAATAGAAATTTTGGGCTCAATTGATGTTGTAAGTCGAGCACTACCAGCTATATTTGAAACTAGGTACAGGAAAAAATAAAAATAAAAAGCATCAGAAGATGTGATCTCATATGGGATTGCAACTTTATTTTCCTTTTTAGGAGAACACCAGCAGCCTCGTTTTCCTGGTCTAACTAGGGGGTTAGTAGCTGTCCTCTTATACTGGGATGGAAAGCGATGCATTGCAAATTCATTGAGAACACTTATCCAGTCTCGACGAGGCAAGACATGGACGTTGGAGCTCAGGTCTGTCTTCAGCAAAGTAATCAGAAAAGTCTTAGACATTAGCAGCATATTTATTTTGGACTTGGATTGTTCAAAGCCTTATCTTTGCAGTCGAAGGGAAAGTTGCATCTATTTTAAATCTGTTATATAATTATCTGTTATAATCTCCATAATAGTCTTTGTTTTGACATCTCCATTTTGGCTCTATAGTGTCTAGCGTAGACATGCTTGAGGCTGATGAGTTAAAAAAACCTGAGGTAGTACAGCAGTTTACATCATTTTTAAGCTACAAGTGGAGGACATCCGGTTTGAATATTTTCCCACATGAATCAAGAAAAGAAGCCAGCTCAGCCTGTGCTTTATAACTATTTCTTATTTAAATAGTATTTGTATGGTGCTGTAGAGTACCTGATTCTACCTTTGCATCTGTGATACAATTTATTATGTTGCTTCTAGCTCAAAATGATTCCAATTTTTATCACTTAATAAATATATGTGTTTTCTTGAAAGCCTAATATTGTTGGCAAAGCTTAATTTCTAATGTTCTACAATATTGAGGATCATTCAGCATCACATCAAAATAAAATTAGTTGTGACATTACTGTCTCTTTCAATTACAGTCCTGAGTTGGTGTCCATAACAACACAGTTTACAGATGAGTTGATGGAGCAGGGTTTAACTCATAAAATTCTGACTTTGGTATCTCAAATTGATGTGAACATTGAATTTGAAAAATTACAGAAAGAACGAGGCCTGGGCAGTGAGAAACATCGCAAAGAGGTAAATAATTGTATAGTACTTTTAATATTGGAATACAGGTAGAAAAGCAGCATTCGTTTAAAAATATATTTTTTTATTTCAAGCAGTATCAGATAACTACATTCACATAAATCCAAGATACGTGTAAAGAGAAAAAAAGATAGAACTACAAAAAAGATTTACTACAGTGTACACAAAGAGATGGCTACTATACATGTGAAAATTTACCATTATGAGTTTACCAAATTATAATCTGTTGCTATTAAGGTAAACTGAATAATGCAACCAAATTTGTTAAAATTGTTCCTGCTTCTGAAGTCTCATTAATTTAACTTTAATATTTAATGTTTGTACCTCTGTTTTTATGATGCTTACAAGCTGCTTGCAGTGACATGGGTGACATATAAATTTAATAAATAAATAAATGTGATATTTTTTCCTGATGTGGCAATTGAAAAAGGCTTGCTAATCAACAGTTCAATTGTTATGTTATCTAGAGTTTTCCAACAATGCACAATTGTTGCTTTGGCTGCTAAAATTAAATAGATAACAGTAATCAGTTCTTTATTTTTAAAGAACTTATGGTTTGCTCCTGTAAATAAATACAGTAAGCCAAATTTTGGAGAGCATTCAGTTCCTTGTTTAGTGATACTTATCTCTCCCAAAATAATTAGCCCAAAAGGTATAATTTTATCACATGACCATCACAAATGAAAAAATGATCCTTTTTTAAGAATCTTTCCAGCATTTGGAAGAGTAATTTATATACAGTAAATATGTGTGCCAATTTAAGATTAATTCAATGCTAACAGTATTATAAATTGCTATCTCATGACATGACTGCATTGAATATTCAAGCCAGTTGCCTCTTGCTCTTGTAGTACAAATATATGTATATATATAACTGTGTTTTTTCAATAGTCAGTGTTGAATTCCTACATAAGAACAGTAAAATATGTTTAAGTGTTTTAAATATACAGATGCAACCCATATGTGGAATACTAAATTGCAAATTACGTGTGAACTTGAATTCACATACTTCAGTTCCATTGTAATGCCATTAAGATAAAATGTCATATTGCTTTCAATTCCTGATGGTTTGTGCCATGCAATTTTGTTGAAAGTGTCACAGAAGTGGTTTGCCATTACTTTCTTCCTATTCCTGCCAGTAGCCCAGCAATGCCCAGGCACTTCCCTCAGTTTTAGTCAGAACCTATTTTGCTTTAGCCTCAGAGATCAGCCCAAGTCACAATAATTTTGGCTTAGCAGTGAACTGGCCTCTTGCTGATCTTGTTGCACCTTTCGCTGTTATTATGTGTGAAATGCATCTTTGCTCGTTCAGTTATAGAACGTAATAATTGTATGCCTATGCAATTGTAATAATATTTTATTTTGAACTAGGTTGCTGATCTTATCAAGGAATGTCGGCAGGCACTGGCTGAAAGCTTGTTTGTTTGGACTTGCCAGTCACCACTAAGTCGTGATGATATTTTAATCCTTATTAGTTATTTCGAGAAAGTAACTGTAGAAGCTGATGGGTCATTGGACAGAGTAAACTTGGCACTACTTTTGGCTGTCCTGTATTGTTTTGATGTCAGTTTTCTAGAACAGATCACTGAAGATCGAGATGGTAATGATTTTTCACTTTAAGCATGCATTAATTTATAATTGTCATTAATTTACAATTAAATGTCTACTAATAAAATATTCATTGCTTACATATTTACGTGGCTGTTATATTTCTATGATTCTATGGTTGGTTAAAAAAAAGGATCAGATAGATGTACAGCAACTTTTGCATGCTGAAATGTTTACTTCCTAACAAGACTATGAAAGGCTATAGCAAAGATTTAATGAGATATAAGGGATGGATAAGAAATTTTTCAGCAATTTTTCATTTAGAGTAAACTTATCTCATAAGATACTAAGTTGCAGATATTTTTAGTTTTTTTTTCTAGCAGCCTTTTCATAATTTAGCATGATGTTTTAATGGACAGCGGAATAGATTTCAGCTGTTGTTATATAACCATTTCTTGAATTTTTATCAGGCTGGGAACTCACTATTACATTAGATGAAAAGTAAAAAGTAGGAACTGACCTTCTACCCTTTAGATAGAAACTTGCCATTTATAAATTAGATGGTAAATTAAATAATTGTAGTATTATATAAAGTAACTTTACAGCATAGTTTTGTGAATTGGACAAAATACATGTCTGTTTAGGAGTCTGGATTTATGGGAATTACATGGTAGGTGGTAGTTAAAGGGATCTTTCTATTCTTGAATTTACTTCCCACTTGTAATATAGGTAGTCCTTGACTTACAACAGTTAGTGACCATTCAAAGTTATAACGGTACTGAAAAAAGGGATTTATGACCATTTCTCACACTTACAACCTTTGTAGCACCTCCCATGGTCATGTGATCAAAATTCAGATGCTTGGCAACTGACCCATATTTATGACAGTTGCAGCGTCCCAGGGTCATGTGATCATCTTTTGTAATGTTTTGACAAAGTCAGTGGGCAAGCCAGAGTCACTTAACATCAATGTTACTAACTTAACAACTGCAGTAATTCACTTAATAACTGTGGCAAGAAAGGTTGTAAAATTGGCACAAAACTCACTTAACAAATGTCTCACTTAGCAACAGAATTTTTGGGCTAAGTTCAATTCCATAATTTGGGGTAAACCTTAAGAATGTCATTACCTCTAGCAGAATAATATTGGCTTGAATGAATCAACACAAAAACAATAGGGAAGATAGAGGATGCTTTTGCTTTCTTCCATACATATTAAACTGTCTAAAGTCTTCTGAAAAATAAGCATAATCTAAACTGGAAGAATTTATGATCAAATGTTTCATTAGCCAATTAACTTTATAGCGAACTCTTCTTTGGCAGAGAACTGCACTGTAAATTTCAAAGAAGCATAAATACTAAATGATAGTTATGCATTTATTCATAGAAGTCCATTTGTGTTAAAATGGAAATCCAGTGTATTTTTTATTTTATCTCTGAATTTAACTTTTTATTGGTTGTGCTTGTATACCACACTAAGCCATAATGTGAGTGCACGCTTGAACCCAGTCATGATACACTGAACGATTGATGAATGTCATCATGTTGGTGTTGATGCTTAGTGACCACACACATAGGCTCTCCAAAGAATGATCTGTCTTAACCTTTTACGTCTGTCAGTTCTGCGTTCATTGCTGTCAAATCCATCCAACTTGATGCTGGCCATCCACTTCTATTTTCTTCAATTTTCCAAATATTATGGACTTCTCAAGGAAACTGGGCTCTGCATATTGTGCCCTAAGTATGTTAGTTATTCAAACCATGATTTATTTGAACTCTGGTTAAAATAAGCCATGGCTAACAAAATGTGGGAGCTGCATTCTATTACCAAAATGCAGGAATATTTAGCAGTTTTGCTAAATGAAGAACAAAATTTTTCACTTCTGTTTCTTGTGGATTACTGACTATTGTGATGATTGAGACAATCTAGTGGATGGTGATCATATGTGATTAGAACATATAGCATTGATATGGGAGCAGCCCATTGTGTATCCATGAACTAGTATGATAATATAAAATTAGACAAGTCTTTTTTTCATTTTCAGTGAATTGGACCATGATTTTTCATTGGTAGATACTTTTTGTTGTTGCTTTAGAACTGATGCGCCAGTTGCCGCTGCTAACAGACAGACAGTATATAGCAGCAATCCATACACGCCTTCAGGAATCTCGGCCTTGGAAACTACCAGGACTTCAAGCTACTGTTAGGTTAGCTTGGGCGCTAACTTTGCGTGGAATTTCACACTTCTCTGATGTGACAGGTAAATTTGATTAAAAGTGGTATGTAGTCAAGGAACTCAATTCCAGTCCCCTGCCTTCATTTCAGTGAAGGAAGCAGATTTGCACACATTCCACTGGTTAAAATAGCAGTTCTAACTGATATTTCCTATGAAGTATGATGTGTTATGACATTGCTTCTTTTGTTCTTTCTTCTTTGTAGCATTTGCGGAATTCACTGAAGCTGATGAAGCAATGGCAGAGTTAGCAATTGCAGACAATGTTTTTCTATTCCTTACTGAATCTGTAGTGAGAGCAGAAAACTTTTATCAGGAAGAATTTTACATCCGTAGAATCCACAACCTTATCACAGATTTCCTTACCCTCATGCCAATGAAAGTAAGTTTCATGGGGAAGGAGCTAAATTAGAATTATCTTGAATATAAATAGATCAATATCTTTACACAGACTTGAAAAAAGTATGTCTAACCATTTTAGGGAAGACTTTAAACTGAGAAAAAAATGTGATTTTAAAATAAACATATGTGGAATGATACATGTCCTTGAAACAACATTCAGACATAACAGTTTATCTGTTATCTGATTATTCATCTATATATAATTAAAAAGAAAAAAAATCTAAACTTATATTGAAGGTGACTTTTCCTGATGTATTAGAATATTTTAAATAATTCATCTCTATTTCTTATATAACTAGTCAGAATTTCAGTTCTTTTGAGTAAGTCAAATTGTTATATTTTAATCTGTGGTTACAAGTGGTTCTCATTTAATGACCATTTACAACATTCCTCTTACAATCTTTGGAGTGTCTCCATTGTCACATGATTGCAATCTAGTCACTTGGCACCTGGCTCATGATTACACTACAGTGTGCTGTGATCACATGATTGCAATTTCCAACATTCTTTATAAGCAAGATCAGTAGGGTAGCCAGAAGGAAGTTGGAAGTCAAGATTACACGAGGTTCCCACTTAATGACCTGCGAAATCCTCACTTAATGATGGCAACCTGGATTGCCAAAACTGCTGTTGCTAAACAATGGGGTCAAGTGATATGATTTACAACCATGTCACTTCTGACATGTTCTGGTCTCAATTGCTGTCGTGAACTAAGAATTAACTCTTAGTCTAGGTCAAATATAAATATATTTATATCAAATATAAATATATTACTGTGCCTATGTCCTGTCCTAAATCCCCTCTTGATCACATTTTATTGTTAGAATCAGCAATTATTCTTTTCCAATTTATGAACATAAGTTATTTTTACCAATATGAATGTTTTGATGTGTTGGTGCATTCAGTTTAGATTTTGGGGAATAATTCTGTTTTTAAGTATCAAATTAGCAAGATAACCCAATTAATTTACTGCAGAGATACAGATGGTACCGTATATATATTTACTGTAAATTTTTGAAAGAATGTAACAGACACTCTCACAAAATGACAGCAGCAGTTAAAGTATTAGTCACCAAATATGTATTTAACAGAAGACTAATTGACCGAGTTCGGCTCCTCTTATGGCTGTTCCAAGAAGGTTCCACACCCATTTGCACTCTGGTTTAGGTGACCCTGAGGGCACAGATAAACCTCCAAGTGGCCTCATCTGCTAATGACCAGATGACTGTAAGAAATATAAATCTTTCCATTCCCCACCATTCAGTCAGAACCGAAGAAGCTTCTTGGATGAGAAGTGAAATATTGCCTTTTGAAAAAGCATCTTTGGGATAATTACTCTTTTGGATTATATAGAAAGTATTTCAATTAGAGATAGAATATTGATTTCAATGGGAATTAGAGATAGTCCTTTACTTATGACCACAACTGAGCCCAAAATTTATGTTGTTAAGTGAGACATTTGTTAAGTGAGTTGTGCCCCAATTTACCACCTTTCTTGCCACAGTTGTTAACTGAATCACTGCATTGATAAGTAGTAACATGGTTGTTAAGTGAATCTGGCTTCCTTATTGACTGCTTGAGACACAGTAGTGATCACAAGTATGAACAATCTGCCAAGCATCTGAATTTTGATCACATGATCATGGGGATACTTCAAAAGTCATAAATGAAAAATGATGATAAGTCACTGTTTTCAGTGCTGTTGTAATTTTGAATGGTCACTAAATGAAGTTGAGGACTACCTGTATAATTGTATGATTAACTTTCTAATTTTCCACATTTAGAATAATGTCAAAAGTTTTGTCTTACCTTATTTAGATATAAAGTATATTAAAGGTTCATATATTAACTCAATTTTTACATACTGATAAATATGAGTCTCTTTAAGGGGCTTTGGATAAGTCTATTAAAGGCAAATGTTGTTAGACCTCAATATTATTTCTGGGTTGGGATACTAATTGCAGGGACCCAGTGATTGATTCCTTTGAGAATCAAAATGCTGGACTCAAATGGGCCTTAACCTAATCAAGCAGGATAGTTCTCATGTTTAATTTAAAAAAATACTCTTTTTTTCGTTCATTTATTCTATGTTTAAAATGCTAATGGTGGTAAATCATACTGATTTTTTTTCTTTTTCCTTTTTTTCTTTATTTGCTTGGCCAATTGTATAGGTGAAACAACTGAGAAACCGTGCTGATGAAGATGCTCGGATCATTCATATGAGTATACAGATGGGTAATGAACCACCCATATCTGTTAGACGGGATCTAGAACATCTGATGCTTTTAGTAAGTTAAATGTTCTTATTTTTAATAGGTCCTTGTTCTTTAAAAAACACAGCAAAATGTTTGTTAAAAATTATTTAAAAGTTTATTTTTAACTATGTGGCCATTTATATCAATCACATTTTTATTAACCTAATTTGCTCAGGGCACATTTTAGAAGTAAAGAAAGCCACAGAAGTAGCACTTGTAACTAAACCATGTTTTTTATTTCTTTCTAGAAAGATTTGTCTGCCCTCTCACCTAGAATTTAAACCTCAGAAGAGATATAATACTTGATTTCTTTGTTCTTCAATAAGCAAATCTGTACAAATATTGACTTGTAGTTTCTGCCATAAAATAGTTTATGTAGCTGTGCTGTTTCTATGAAGTTCTGCTGTAAGCAGGTTCATGAATGTGGGTTTGAGTGTCTATAGCAGAGTTTCTCAATATCATCAGTTTTAAGATGTGTGGATTTCAGAAGCTCCCCCAAATCCCCAGCTTTTATTTTTACTATAATCTTTAATAAATTTATTGGAAAAAAAGATTGAGAAACACTACTGTGGAGATTTATTGCTGTGCTTGGTGTGAAGTCTAACTGTGTCTTCCACTCCTATCAGTACTTTAGGGATGAAGAAACTTTTTTATGAAGGGAAGAGACTTGACCAAAGGGCTTGTTTTTCTTGCTATATATAGACTATAAATTTCTTTGGAAGCAAAGTGACATAAGAGGGTTTAATCTCCCCTTTGTTTCTTAAGATGAGTTTTCTATATTGGCTTATGGAGAAATGATATGCAATTTATTCTCATTAAGCCAACACAATTTTCTATCATCTCTTGTTTTTTGGGATATATTTTCTTGGCATAAAATGAATGTGTTATACATAGCCAAAAGAATGACAGTGGGAGGGAGATATCTTTCTCGCTTTCTGTTGTATGCTTTTGTTTAGTTTTCCTAGTTTCTTTCATTATCCTTCTCTTTCCTGCCTTTCTCTGTATTGGTCTGTAGAATATCTGAATGTAGGTTTATCACTTAAAAAATATAGTCTATTGTATAAGTTGTGTTAAGCAAATAATAATATACCTTTATCATAATTGTTCATTAAAATCTGAAAAGATTCCACAAATTTTAAAAGAGCATATAATTTAAATTTAAGTGATTGTGCATAGGAATGATGTTAAATTGCTTGGTGTGCTCACATGACATCATGCTTTATAATTGCACTGTTTTGCGACAGAATTTCCAATTCTAATTGCTGTTTTTAACTAAGCACTACCTGTACATTTGCTGAAATAAACAATTTTTCTTTTTCTTTTTTTTCTTTATAGATTGCTGAGCTGTATAAGAAAGATCCCTTTAATCTGGAATTTGCTCTTGAATATTGGTGTCCTTCAGACTCTTTGCAGAGCTCCACTATCATAGGATCATATCTTGGGGTAGCCCATCAAAGACCACCTCAGCGTCAGGTTAGAAAAGTGATTCCTTCATTTGGAACGCCTGTGATTTGAAATGACTTTGTTTAATTTAGTTAATTAGTTAACTAACATATTAATTAACAAACATTTGTTGACTTTCATCACTATTAAAGGAAGAGCCCTGTTGAGGAGAAGTTACTGCACATCACCACCTTTTTAAAAAAAAATTGCAATGGATTACTAACCCCCTTTTTCCGCCCCCTCTCTAAATACAATTCTGTACATTTCAGTATTTACATAAAGAGTAGTTATAAAGATTATTTTACACATTCTAAAATATTACATAAATGCTATGTAACTTTAGTTTTGCTTTACTATTTTAAAAATAAAATACAACCCAATCTAAGTTCAGACCTTTTTTGAGTTTGAGAGAGAGAAATGCATACTTCGTATAATCATCTGTACCGTAATCAGAAATATTCAATGGAAGAACCATCATTTAATCCCCTGCTTGGTATGCACTTGACCTGGTGTAAAGTATATGTGTGTGAGTGGAGAGAAAAATATTACAACTGTAAATTTATTATTATTTAGTTTCTGTTTTCAAGATTTTTTTGAGGGAAACATGAATGTTCTGGATGCTGTAGATCAACTTCTGGCACCTCATTCACTTATTGACATATTTATATTCCCATCCCTGCCCCATTTTTTAAGCACTGACAGCAGAAGTTTCTATTGCAGCAAGGCCTCCAAGTCTATAGCATTTCTTCCACTTGATCCTGGAGATGCATCCCAAGACTTATCAGAGGCAAAACAGCAATTGTGGAATGGTAGACTGCAGTATCTTCCTAGTTCCTGGAGCTTTTTTCTGAGAACAATATGAGTGTAGCCTTTTTTTTACCCCTATTGAAATCTGTGGCTGTTAATATTGCCAGTAGGAAGAATATTGCTGTTAATTCTAATAAACATAAAGATATAAAAATTTAAGTGATTACTTAAGCAGATTGTGTGTACAGGAAGTTGACTTATGACCATTTGTTTAACAATAATTTGAATTTATAACAGTGCTGGAAAAATATGATCGGTCCTTGCAAAGTTGCTGCAGGTGCTTGGCAACCAGCTTGTATTTATGATAGTTGCAGTGTCCTAGAGTCATAGCGATTGCCATTTGCAACTTGCACAGGAGGCTTCTGACTAGGAGAGTCAGTGGGGGAGAGTGGATTTGCTTACTGTCCGTATGATTCATTTAATGACCACAGTAATTTGCTTAATGGCTCTGGCAAAAAGTCATAAAATTGGGTGTGATTCACTTAACAACCGCATCACTTAGTGACTATCCCAGTTGTGGTCATAAGTCAAGGACTCCCTGTATGTGCTAGCCAGAGATATTTGAAAACAAATATCAAGACTTTCTTTCGGTAGGTATTCCTACTTAGATGAATCTTTGTTTATATTCCAGGTTGTTTTATCAAAATTTGTTAGACAAATGGGAGACCTGCTTCCTTCCACAATTTATATTCCTTATCTGAAAATGCTCCGGGGATTGGCCAATGGACCTCGGTGTTCTCATTATTGCTTTACTTTGCTAAAGGGTAATGGTAGTACTCATGGTAAGAAATATAGCATCATCTAGCTGAATATTTTGATATTTTATTTCCATTCACATAAGCGTAAACTTAAGTACAAGTTTCTTCAGGGAAGTAGTTGAACACTTTGATTGAAGATTTTCTTATTTATTATGTCATGACACCCTTTTATTGCCTATTCATAGGGGATTTCAAGTTAATGTTTAGCATATATAATAAAGCTTTTCATTAGTATTTCATAGAACATGCTCTTAAATGAAAAACTAAATAGATAAAAGCTTAACGGTAAATATGCCATCCTTGATCATTACATTCTTTATTTTCATTTATTAACTCACATTTTTGTGGGGAGATCATCACTAGGAAATCTATAATTCCTGCATGATTGATAATTCATAAAAAGCTTGACTTTTTAAATAATTGGTAAACCAATTTTTTTCCTGTTTTATATGATTTCTGTCTTTTTGCATCCAAAACTGGATAATTACTTCACTTTTAATTACATATTTGCTAATTTTGTTCATATAACAATGTCAATGAATGAAGATAGTTAATAGGAATTTGTAGTGGAGTAGAGAAGAATGATGACAGCTGTAATCTCTATCCATTTATCCATTAATAAAAATGAGTAAAGGCCCTAAAGCAGGAGATGATAAAGGAAAGAACTTTTTTTTAAGGAAAAGAATCAAACAAGGAAGCAATTTGGGGGAGCTATAATACTATATGCGTTCCTCACTTAGGAATGGGCTTTGGTCTTAGCCTTGGTCTAAATGATTTTAGCAACTCAATGAAATTGAGTTTAGGGAAATGTTTTTTTCACCTGTAGTTTATTTAATATAATCTACGTTATAGTTTTTTTTTTCATTCAGCTGAAAACATCCAAGGAGCAGGTGGCAGTCCTGTCTCTTGGGAACACTTCTTCCATTCCTTGATGCTGTACCATGAACATTTACGTAAAGATTTGCCAAGCGCAGAGAGCATTCAGTATCGTCATCTTCCTCTCAGAGGCATCACACAGAAAGAACAGGATGGATTAATTGCCTTTCTGCAGCTTACTAAGACTATCGTGAAACGGGTAGGTAGTTACTTGATATATGAAAAAATTCAGTTGGTACGTTATTCCATAGTCACTGACATATTTGGTCAGGAATAAATGCAAAAGGAGCTAATGGGTGGCCATATATCTAATTTAACTGAAGGTAAATTTGGTGGGAGAAAAATAATGTGTAAGAAAATGTTAACAATTCTAAATATTCATTTTTGGTATAATGGACACTGTAACGGACAAGGCTTTATATCATTAAACAGTGATAGTTTTTCTTAATTTTTCAGAGTGAAAATGCGCGATTGGCTCTCTGTGAACATCCTCAGTGGACACCAGTAGTTATTATTCTGGGACTTCTGCAATGCAGTATACACCCAATTTTGAAAGCAGAGTTCTTAGAAACTCTCTCAGCCTTTGGGAAATCTCCAGAAATTGCTGCTTCACTATGGCAATCATTGGAATACACACAGGTATCTTGTAAGGGGAAGTTTATCTCTGCTCTGTACTTTGTCCAACTTATTTTAGAGCTGTGGTGGCGCAGTGATTAGAATGAAGTATTGCAGGCTAATTCAGCTCGCTGCCAGGAGTTTGATCCTGACTGGCTCAAGGTTGACTCAGCCTTCCATCTTTCTAGGGTCGGTAAAATGAGGACCCAGGTTGCTGGGGGCAATATGCTGGCTTTTGTAAACTGCTTAGAGAGGGCTGCAAAGCACTATGAAGTGGCATATAAGTCAAAGAGCTATTGCTATTATTTTATGTTTTCCAATTTGGAAAGTTGGTCTGCAGAATAAGAAAATCTGTTGAGCAAAACTGAGTTCCTGAATGCCCTTCCAACTTTAGTGTATTGTTTTCCTTTTTATATTATAAATCCCTGCTAGTAGATGGGAAGTAGATGATAGAGAGGCAAGAAATCTGATTGTATGTAAGAAATAAAAAGGATTTAGTGGAAAACGTTTTAAACTCAAAATTCTGTCAACAAAATTGTTTCTTACAGAAGAGGGCCATTAGAGGAATTTGTTTTAACTTTGCTTTAACACGATTTAACAAATCAAGGTACAAGATATTCTTATGAAAATTCTTGCTATCATCAGCATCATTAATAGTTGTTCTGTTGTCTTTATGTGTATGTGTGTATGTGTATGTGTGTATACGTATATGTGTTGAATTTGGATTGCTAACAAAGATGATTGTTGCAGTAGCGACTGCTGCCTGTGGATAGCCCTAGATTGGGGCTGATACAGGCAAAAGATTTCTTCTTCCCTTATTTGGGCTGACCGGATGCATCATAAAAAACACTTAAGATGTGTGTGTGTGTACAGTATGTGTGTGTGTATATATATATGTGTGTGTGTGTATATATATATGTATACACAGATACACATGCACACACATACACACTTAATAAACACAAAAAAGTATAGAAAGAAGAGTGCAGGTGCTTTAATTTTGGAGCAGGACCTGTCACTAAAGCTTTGTGCAATCAGCAATGTAATACTAGTTAATTCCTTTAATATTGTATTATTTTGCTAATGGTAACAAACATTTCATTTCTCTCCCATTTATTTTGGAAGATATTGCAGACTGTAAGAACTCCAGGCCAAAGACAAGCCATTGGTATTGAGGTAAATTGTCTGTACTTAGTCATTCTATTTGATGAATATTTGATTATATAACATGAGACAGTTGTTAAGTTAGTAACATGTTTGTTAAGTGAATCTGACTTGGCCATTGACTTTGCTTGTCAGAAGATCACAAAAGACGATCACATGATTCCGGGACACTGCAACCGTCATAAATATGAACTAGGTGCTAAGTGTCTGGATTTTGATCACATGACCATGGGGATGCTGCAAGTGTGAAAAATGGTCATAAGTCACTTTTTTCAATGCTGTTATAACTTCAAATGGTCACTGAATGATTGTAAGTTGAGGACTACCTGTAGGTTCAACAGTCTGGTTCACAGTGGCACAGTATTTGTAGATACTGTAAATGATGATAAATTATCTGTTTATTAGATTAAACATTATAGACTGAAATTATAAAATGGTTTGGGGTTTTTTGATGAAGGGCCTTTGAGAAAACTGGAAGAAGCATTTGCATGAGCTTATTTAAGAGTGGTAAATGAGATGGTGTGTTGGGTTTAAAAAGTAACATGTTTGGAATTTATATTCTTGGAAGGTTGAATTGAATGAAGTAGAATCCCGGTGTGAGGAATATCCTTTAACTCGTGCCTTCTGCCAGCTCATCAGTACCCTAGTAGAGAGTTCATTTCCTTCTAACCTGGGTGCTGGGCTGCGCCCACCAGGATTTGAGCCGTACCTTCATTTTCTGAGAGAATCTGTATTTCTTCGATTTCGGACCAGGGCCTACCGGAGAGCTGCTGAAAAGGTAAACATTACGTCTTGTAATGTATATTACTACAAATCTATGCAAATTTGTCTTTGTATCATCTTTATTTTGATTCTGCAATCTTATTCCTTTGAAAAATCCTATAGCAATAGTAGTAACAATAATCTACCATGGTGTTACAAGGGACATTCATGTATTGATTCAATTTGCTCTGTATGATCTCCCACTCAACATGTAGCTGTGGATGGTGAACAGCAAATTTAAACAATAATAGAATTATTTTTTAAATAGCCATTATAGACTTATAAAATCTGTGGTTTCCTCAGACCTTGTACTGAAAGTCAGAACTCAGAATAAGTTCTGCAAATGGAAAAGCGTTTCAAGTAGGACTGAATTTGTTGTTGCAAATGCTGGGAAATTGCTGCTAAACTTTCTAGATATTTTACTGATTTGATTCAACACATTGTTTCAACTTTTAAACTGGAAACTGAAGTTAGAGACCTCCATTTACTTTTAGCTTGTACAGCAAGCTAATTGCTCCTTTCCAATGTTTACACATTAATAATTATATTATAATTATTTATATTATAACATAATAATTATATTATAACATTATTATTATTATTATTATTATTATTAATAATAATAATAATAATAATAATATTTAAACATTATAATTTTTGTTATATCTTTGTGACCTAAAATTCCAATCCAGACTTTTTTCAATCATATATGGAAATTTAAACAAGACTTTTTTCCCTAAATGCAATCCTATATCAGCTAACCTGAAAAAGGCGCTATTGTGATTTATTTGCACAATAATAAACTGAAGGAATTAATATGTACAATGTTACTAGATTTCATTTCTATAGAATGTGAATATTGGCAATGTACAGTATATAGTGGGGTTGATTTCTTTTCTTTTTTGGAACCATTTTATATTGGGAGTTGGTTGAATTAAAGATTTCTTCAAGATTTCTTTCAGTGGAACAAGTCTTATATCAGGAAATGTCTCATTTAAGCTCCTTGTGGCAGGAAAAAAATTGGATCCAACTCATTGAATTAAAATATAACTTTATAAAATTTTTAAAAATTAAATGAATATTTTGGACATGGCTTTTTGACAGTGGGAAGTAGCTGAAGTAGTTCTGGAGGTCTTTTATAAGTTGCTGAGTGACTATGAACCCCAACTTGAAGATTTTGTGGACCAATATGTAGATTTACAAGGTAGGCTGTTTGCTGATCTCTTTTTACCTATTTTTGGTCTCTTGCTGGGAAAGAAAGCCAACAAAATCTCATGGAGTTTTTTTTTCTGATCTGTTGGTGACTGCTAATTATATTCTAAGTGCTCCTCAAAACATAAGCAGGAATATTTGTAGTTCAATGAGATTTCTATGTACAATGTTACAGTAGGGAATGGTGTGGATGCTTACATGTAGAACTATGAAGAAGGATTTAGATGCAGTGGCATTTTTAGAACTGTGGGAGTGTTAAAAATCATTTTTCCCCAATGAAAATTTAGGAAAGACTTAGAAGTATAATGGGAAGAGGGAGGCAGTGACAAGGGAAAGCCTTTTAAAATAAGGCTAAATATCTGGAGATGGAATAAGTGATGTAAATCCCAGGAAAGATTATAGTGGTTCGTATAAAGGTGGGAATTCAGTTTTTTGCTTTAGCTCACTTGATTTAAGAAAAGGGGGCAGTTCAGAGAAAAGGCAAGGTTTCAAGAATAAATAAAAGAATTTCGTGGGAAAATAGGGATTTTACACTTGTTTAAATCTTTACCTGGGGAAAGAGGAAGGAGAAAATGAAAATGACAATGATTAGGTTTACATTTATGCTGGTAAATTGCAATCTCATAAATAGCACATAAATGTACATTTCATTTTCTAGGAGAAGAAGTAATAGCTTATAAACCACCTGGGTTTAACCTGATGTATCATCTTTTGAATGAATCACCAATGTTGGAATTGTGTCTTAGCTTGTTGGAAGAAGGAGTTAAACAGCTAGATACCTATGCACCTTTCCCTGGTAAGTTGCAAGTTTCTTTTTAATTAAGATATCAAAATATCTACATGACTCTAGTATAGACTGTTGAAACAAACCTGATGACTCAAAACTGGCGGTTCTTGATGGGTTGTTTGTTGCCTCCATCAATGTACTTGTGTAAACTCACTGTGAATTATTCCCCTTCTCCATTTCCCCCCTGTGGGGGGGGGGGAATCATGAATGTGTGATCTAATTGTTTGATTTGTTTTCTTTAGGTAAAAAGCATTTGGAGAAGGCTGTACAGTATTGTCTTGGGCTGCTCAATCTAACTCTACAGAAAGAGAACCTTTTCATGGACTTCTTAAGAGAAAGCCATCTCTCTGTCATTGTTACCTCACTAGAACAGCTGCTGCAAGGAATCAATCCTCGTACTAAAAAAGCTGATCATGTGGTAAATATTGCCAGGTAAGTCCCAAAACATTAAAAAACCTGCTGTGGCTTTAGAAATGCTGCGTTTTTACTCAGAGTGTATCTGTTCCAGATGTTCCTATAGCATGAGTGTTTAGAAAAATTCCATTAATAGCTGGCTTCATAAAAATAGAATACTGTCCCTCTATTCATCTACAGTAATTCATAGGATTGAGCTGTACATTTGCTAAGAACATTTCCAAACAATTTCTTATTTATAGTGTGAATAATATTATATTTTAATTTAATTAATTTGATGTTATAATCTGTTCATGTGGCCTGTAGAAATTGGGATTTAAGAAACAATTGAATTAGGAGATAAAACCTAAGCTGCTTTTCCTCCCAAGTATAGGGTAATGATTTGAATAAAGTTATATCTATGTATTCCAGGTACATTGTAAAAAAAAAAGTATAGGATTTCTCTGACGTTCAATTCAATACATGGGTTGCCATCATTATTTCTCTATAATGTTATATTTTAAAGGTACCTTTATCATGGTAATACCAATCCTGAACTGGCTTTTGAAAGTTCCAAGATCCTTTGTTGCATTTCTTGCAATTCTAACATTCAGGTCAAGCTGATTGGAGACTTCACACAAGACCAGGTAATTGCAATTAATTTTTTTAAGCAAGAAAAAGGGAATTGTTATCCAATTATCAGCAAATGATTTATTAATAGTGATGTGCAAATGTTCTGGGTTTGAACCATTCCATGAGCAGAACAGCTGGTTTGAGCTAACCTGTTCTCTGACCGAAACCCACATGTTTTTCAAGTTTTGATCTATATGTGGAATGGATCTATTTTGTTTTCGATACAGACTGAATCATGATTATTCCAAGCAAAAGGGTTTTTTTTGGGGGGGGGCAGGAAAAACCTAGGATTGGATGTTTCCTTTGTGATCCCATGTAAATGGCTAAGCAGAGAAAAGAAAGAGGCAGTGATGGACAGATGGGGGATCTGTAGTGTGGCACATAAGGCATGAGGAGGAGGGAAGGGAGATGATGATGCACCCCAGTCTTGCTCTACTCACCCCATAAAATCATTTGGAGAATCCCTCACATGTTTATTTCAACTGATGCCTGGAACAACTAAAATATTCTAGGTTTTGTTTCTGCTGAAATGTGATAACTCTGAAATAATGTAGCACAACTTTGGTAATGTATGGTTTACTTAAGCATTTTTTGTGTACTATTCTAGGTTTGTATATATTTTTGTTTATATTGATATCTTATTATTTTACTTTTATTTTAATAACAAATCTAGAGTATCAGTCAGAAACTAATGGCTGGATTTGTGGAATGTTTGGACAATGAAACTGCAGAAGAAATAATTAATCCTGATGAAGGTATGAAAGTTGATCATTTTATTTTTTTATTTTCAAAAATGAAAATGCTTGTGTTTATTTGCACTATGTTATTATTTTAATTTCAGAAGATAGAATAATAATAAAAGACTGCATTTAGAAGTCTGTACTATTTAAAATTTTAGTTCTTATAATTTTTAACAAAATTATAGTTAGCCAAAAGAGTGCCAAAAAATTATATTTACAAAATAATTTCACAAATATATTAAGTGTTCTGCTTTTCATAATTTATATTTATGGGTGAGATGATGATTATACAGTTAATTCAGAAACAAATTGATACCTTCTGAAATACTTTAAACAGAAGTTTTCATACTTGTATTTCTGTTGCTCATTGGGAAATTTGCAGATGGTTGTAAATTAGACTAATTAAACATACATATGCATTAACTGAATGCTTGCTGGATAATTCACTTTTAATATAAATGTGTGTGCTTGATTCAAAGAATTTGAAGTTGAAAGGAAGCAAGCACCGATATTCCATGAAACAAGGATTAATATTCTGAACCTTCTCATTACCTCTCTGGAGTGCAAGCCACCCAATCTTGCTCTGTATCTTCTTGGTTATGAATTTAGGAAGCCTGTCAGCACTACAAATCTGCAAGATCCAGGTACCCAACTGAGAGTGCTCTGATGATAGAGAAAGAGGGAAGTGGCTAGCTACCATCTGGAAAAAACCTTGGATAGTGATATTTTATTTTATTTTAATTTTCCAGTATAGCATAATATTAATATGGTACAAAGAATAAATATTAAATGTTTTAAATTTTAAAATCAGTGCGTTGTAGAAAGTGCATCTAGATGCAAACTCTGCAAATCTGGGTACTTTTATCCATCATATCCCATTTGTAATAAAATGCAACATTAAACTACTGTAATTTTACAAGAGCAAACTCTTTGCCATTTCTAGCTAGTATCATAAAAAGCACACTAAAATTTCAAACAGAATGAAATTTGTTTTTTTATTTTCCATGTGAATTAGCTTATTATGCCTTATATACTGTTTATCTAAACAAGTGTCTTAAATCTTTAAGGTGTGTTGGGTTGCCCTCGTACTTGCCTTCATGCTATTTTGAATATATTAGAGAATGGTACTGGAACAAGATCTGATCCCACAGCAGTTCGGGAATCTCCACATCTAGCAGAGTTGTGTTATCAGGTATGAAAGAAATTTTGAGTAAATTTTGAATTTAAAATTTGTATATACAGCCAATCAGCTTTAAGTGTTTTTGTAGCTTTTTGTAATTTTGTAGTGCTATTTTGATTCTTAAAATAATTTATATCACAGGCCTACATATGATTACAGAGAAAGATGCCTCTTTGAATTCAGGGATATTTTCTTTTAGATAATTATATATCTGAATCCTTCACTTTATAGCATTGGAGCCTAAGCTGATTTTTAAAAATAGAGCTGTTACATGTAAGTCATTTAAATCATTGAAGGCAGTTTTAACACTGTGTTATTAATAATTCAGCTGTTTTTTTAACCTGATATTCTTTGTAAAGTTTTAAAAGGAATGCATGTTTTTTTGTTTATACCCAAACACACACATGAAAATATTTTTTTTGGATTAACAGGTGATCTATCAGTTATGTGCGTGCTCAGACACCTCAGGACCAACTATGAGATATTTGAGGACTAGCCAGGATTTTTTATTCTCTCAGTTGCAGCACCTTCCTTTTTGTGTCAAAGGTAACACTTGAAATGCATTTTTAATTGGAGGTATTTTATTCTATTGCTTTGAAACATTGTTTCATTCTAAGTTGAAATACTTTAATCTTGCAGAAAAGCTATTTTTATCTTAGAATATTAGAAATCCTGCCTTGGAAGGAAGAGAAATACATCTCCCTTCTTTTGTGGCACTTCATGCATCATATCCTTTCTTTTTTGCTTCTTTTCCACCTCAGCATTGGGAAAGAATGGTCAGGAAGCATGACCGTTGAGGAATCTCATTTTGGAATTGGACCATATTTCAATATGACTGCTCTCAAACAGTCTTAAGCTAAGATTTCAAAGCATGTCAGAGTAGGAGGGCTATATTTTCCCAATGTGAATATTTAACTCTGCTGTACTGTTTCTTTCTTTCACTTCTACTCAGAGCATGAGATTCCTGCCTTGAATCAGATGTCATGGCTAATGAAAACTGCATCTATAGAATTGCGAGTTACTTCCCTGAACCGCCAGCGTTCTCACACACAGAGATTGTTACAGCTCCTTCTTGATGATGTGCCAGTCAAATCTTATTTAGGTAAATGGAATTGGGCTGGATAGATAGAGGGGTTAAGATTTTTATACCTAAAGGCCATTTTTTTCTTTTCTGAATTATCTGGCACTTTCATATCCAGTTGCTACAACTTTTACCATAACATTTTCTAGTTCGTCTCACAATTACAATTTTAGGAGTGAGGGAAGCAAGCATTACTTAGATAATGGAGATATTGGTTTAGCCAAAGTTGACATATTAATAGCAGTGATAGATTATTCAGTATAACACATTGTTCTTGCCTATTAACAGGATACATAGCTTTTATTGTTCATCTCTCTAAGTGTAAATTAGGATTGGATGGAATTTATTGCTATCAATGTGTAACAAAGTTATGTTAGTATAAGCGAAGCACTTCTCTTTGGAGCATTAAAGAAGTTTGTATCTTTCAGTTTGTGCAACTGCTTTAAAATGCACAGACATTTTGTATTTTATTTTAAATTTATGCTGTGATGAAATTGGGTGGCTTATAAATTAATTTTAACTTTTAAAATTCAATTTTCTTAGCTGATGGTGAAGGAGGGATAGAAGATGATAGTCGTTCTGTCACTGGATTCCTTCACTTTGATACTGTTTCCAAGGGTAAGTTACTTGCAAAGACCTACTTTTCAGATTTTAATTAGGAATACAGAGACCATTATATTGACTGGTGCAATAAAACTATAGCAGCTTTCATTCCTAAGGCAGACTAGAACTCAGTCTCCTGGTTTCTAGCCTAGTGCCTTCCCAACCTTTTCTATACCCCACATTCCTTGAAAATGTTTGATTAATGTTCTCACCCCCTACAAAAGTAATTGTGATTTGTGACCTATCACTAAGGAATACAATCCACACTCTTGTCACATCCCTGAAATGCCATCTCACACCCCCTGGGAATGCTGGCACCCCTGGTTACCCTAGACCAGGGGTGTCAAACTGCCAGCCCGTGGGCCGGATGCGTCACGCGGAAGCCATGCCCACCCCATTGCTGGCAATGGCAAAACGGTCCCGATACGAGTTTGACATGTCTGCCCTAGACCAAGCTACCTGGCTCTGTCTTTTTTGCCTGGCTGCTTGTTATAATCAGAACATTTAAAAATTGTTAGAAAAATCATAATACACTTAAATTTGTAAATGATAAATAAATGTCTATATAGGTATTATATGTTTATATAATACATTCATTGTTTGGCTTCTAGCATATATATTTTGTGATATTTCTATGCTGTTTAACATGAAATTCTAGAGCACTGCATAGTAAGAAGCAACTTAATACATTACAAAGAAATGAGTGGGCACAATGCAGAAATTGATAAATCATTTGAAGTTTATTGGGATTTTTCCCTTTTATTAATTTCCTAAAATACTGTGTGGTAGAGAAGAATAGATAGAGCCAGGGGCGGAGTTAAGCAAGTCATCAGTCTAGAGTTGTTACATTCCAACAAACGGTCTAAGTCCAAACTCTCTTGCATTATCCTCTGCCAATTTAGCACTGAAAGCTAGTTGACTAGAATCTTGTTTATAGGCTTGAGCAACAAATCTTCTTAACTGCAACTTAACGTATTTTCATGATTCTTTGCCCTGACAGTAATGTTCAATATGACCAGCTTCAAGAGCATAAAACTTTAACAAATGCTAAAGCACTCACAGTTCTGTTTTGTATTTTACCTGCTGGATTGGAGCTACATTGTTTCAGAATTTAACTATAAATATACTGCTGGGTTGGAGCTACATTGTTTCAGAATTTAACTATAAATATACTGTGGTGTCTGATGGTGTAGCTTAATTCATTTTCTTGGGATATATTAATAGGAATAAAATGTAGAATTATGATAAATAGAAAAATATCTAAATCGTAAAGTTTGTCATTTATATTTTCTGAGTTCAGCTGACTTCTCTTCTGTCTGATTTCCAGAAATTTCTAAATTGATTTCTAATATCTTCAGTGCACAGGAAAATCTTGAGCATCCTTGATTCAATTGACTTCAGTCAAGAGATCCCAGAGCCTTTGCAACTAGATTTTTTTGACCGTGCTCAAATAGAGGAGGTCATTGCTAACTGTGAGAATAGGACTGCACATGGACCAATTATTTGCAATGTGAAGGTCAGCAAGTTTCAAGAAATGTTGGGGTTGTCCAAAAATATATAGAAACACACTTTAAGAGAGGGGTGTCAAACTGCCGGCCCGTGGGCCGGTTTCATCATACCGGAGCCGTGCCCACCCCATTGCTGGCAATGGCGAAAAAGCTCCGATACGTTGCGCGACGTCACGTGACATCACGAGTTTGACAATGCTGCTTTAAGAACTTGATCCATCCACAGTAATGCATGTATGGCCCCCCTGCTTGAGTCTGAAAGCAAAAGTTTGAAATGGATTTTGGTTCCCGGTTTTATTAGAGGCCAGAGTTGTTACTTATTTATTTATCAAGTTTGCTTCATGTTCTTAAAATATGTTTGGTAATTCTGGGATTAAATATTCATTCTTAATATATCCATTATTTTCAATATATCCAATATATCCTTATTTTCATTTGACAGTTCTGGAGAGAGAGAGAGACATTCTTATAAAGTTATAGTCAACTTCTTCCTCCCCCCCCAAAAAAAATACAGTTACTACACTGAATTGAGTGTTATAAAGGAACAACTGACATTCCATGTTGGATATTGTATGTTTCCTGGCTAGCTTCATTAAAGTGTATAATTTTATCTAGGATGAAAGTAAAAATGGGCAGAAGTAAGAAATAAATGAAATGATGAAAACACTCTTCACAGCTAAGATAATGAGTTGGTTTAGTATTTTTAGTGTGCATTAGACATGAGCCTTGTCTTTTCCTCAATACTAGCATCTTCACAAAGTTCTGATTGCTGAAGTTAATGCCTTGCAAGGAATGGCAGCCCTTGGACAGAGACCTTTACTTATGGAGGTAAAGAAATGAAATAACTAGAATGCCTAGATTTTGAAAAGGTTATCGGGATATATTATTATTTGCTTTAGTAAATATTTATTAATTGTTTGCTTTACTAAATATTTTATATAATGCTTACTAATTTGGGAGTGATTATAAGCATGTTGTACTGCTAGAATCCCAGTTTTATTATTACTTTAAAGAAATGGGAATTTAAAAATATCTAAGATTGTAATTCACAGGGATGTATCCAGTTTCTTCTTTTTTTAAAAAAATATTTTTTGCAGGTAGTCCTTCTCATGCAATCATAATGGAGGTGGTTGTAAGTCAAGGACTACCTGTATTAAGTTTTAATACAATACTGAAAAAAATACAAATTAAACTCAGAAAGAAGGGAAAGTACAAAAAGAATAAAAGATATACAGAGAAAAAAGAAAGGATAATTTCTGAAAGTGAGTGAATGAGCTCTGCGTCCTTTAAAACTTTGCTGCAGTTGAGAGCATGATGGTTCTCTTCATCTCCCAGAACTCAAATCCACAAAAAACCTCTATCCTGTGGTCTCCTCATGAGGAACAACTGTCTGGAGCATAAGTGAACCATCTCCCATCCTCTCCTTATCCGGGGAGGTTCTGTGAGACGAGTCTGCTCACAGGTCCTTAGGTCGTAGTTGTGGTTGTCATCTTTGCTAATTTGGAGATGCTGTAGTTCACCATTCCTCACCTGAAAGCTCCTTCCAGTTTCTTCTATGATTTCCCACCATCAAACATTCTGATGGCATTTAAAAGGAAACTCCCTGATGGAACTTTTTTTTCAAAATCCCCAAGGTATTTCTGACATGTATATTCCCTGCTTGGTTATAAACTGATACGATATTAGTATAACTTGATTAATTGCTTTTTGTTGTTATTAGTGATTTTTTTTCAATTGATTTCCAGGAAATCAATACAATCCTTCAGTATGTTGTGGAGAGGAACAGGCTTCTTCAGTGTCTGTATGCAAAGAAACATGCTCTGGAGTCCTGGAGGCAGCTGGTTGAAATCATATTAACTGCCTGCCCACAGGACCTCATACAATCTGAAGATAGACAGCTTATTATCCGTGATCTACTGCAAGATTTACATGATAAGGTAAACTATAAAGATATATTACTACATTATGTGGTTTAAAAGGAGATTCTTTTAAAATTAAATTATAAAATACAGAGTAAGGAAAGGAGGAATATATCAGAGACAATTTAACAGCAATTTGAGACTCATTTGTTTTATGTGTCACATTCTAGTTAACTGTCGTTCGCATTTGGAAAGATGATAGAAATCATGTCACTTATAATAAGACTATTAATTTCTTTTCTTCCCATAAGATTTTGAATGATGATGCAGCTCAAGAGTTAATGCCTGTTGTGGCAGGAGCCGTGTTCACTTTGACTGCTCACCTAAGCCAGTCTGTGCGAACAGAACAAAAGGAGCCATTTGCTATCCCTATGCCTGGACGTTCCCAATTTGTCCTAATGTTGGATGGGTCTTTTGCTACATCACCTGCTTCTGAAGACTTGGCAGTGGGATTTGCCTCCATTGGAGACTCTTCTTTACATATCATATTGAAAAAAATTCTGGATTTTATTCTGAAGACCGGTGAATACAGAAATCACTTATATTTATTGGAAAGGAATTCCATAAATGTTAATATGGAATTGAACGTATTTTCATTTTGTTTCATTAAATTAAAAATTATACTTAAACTGAGTTTGCACTATCTTGTTTAACAGTTATAGCTATAAGCAGTAGAAGATGCATGTGGGTTGTTCTGACAAAAGTAGAGGACAGTGGCTATATCTTTATGATGTTTTCTGTTTTAATTTTGCTAAGAATGGAACAATTTGATTATTCTGGCTTCAGCTTTATGAAAAAATAGTTGTTTTCATTGCAAAATCAGCATTGTACGTATAATTGAAGATAATGCTACATTTGTTGGCTTCTCTCTTCCTCTTTGAATAGGTGGTGGGTTCCAGCGAGTGAGGACACACTTGTATGGATCATTGCTCTATTATTTGCAGATTGCTCAACGACCAGATGAACCAGATACCTTAGAAGCAGGTAAAATATAATCTAATTATAGAAAGTATGACACTCTACAGCATAGATCCCCAGCCTATGGGCCGCGGTCCACTACTGGGCTACGTGAGTGGCTGGTCAGTGCACGTGCGCATATGTACGCGCTCACCCCCTGCCCTTGCACCGGTGCTAGCCGAGCTGCGAGCCTCTCGCCGGAGCTAGGAGAGCCACAAGCCTCTCGCCAGCGGTAGGAGAGCCGCGAGCCTCTTGCCAGCGCTAGCAGCCCCATTTGCAGAGGGTGCATGCTCACGGCCTGTTTGCATGCACACGCATGCAGCCACATTTGCATGTGTGCACATGCGCGCATAAAGATCCTTGTCCCTCCCTTTCCCACCGGGCCGCCAACCCAGAAAGGTTGGCGACTCCTGCTCTACAGAGCTGCATATACAGTCTGTCTCTACAGAGTAAGATGTGAATATTAGTAGTGGTGACAGGAAGTTCTTAAATAACTTTTAGGTCTAAAGTTTGAAATTCCAATGAGTATCTGTTTTCCTTCAGCATTAATACTGTGAAGTTTATAATTATCTGTTCTTGGACCTAATTTCTCAATGCCATTTGCACAAAAAGACCTCGCTTGAAAAGTTAAACAGACTTGGTTATTACTTGTTTAGAAGTAATAACGGAACTATATAGCAAAAGTTACCAAATTTCAAACATTCCCAGAAAAAAAAATTGGTAAACCCTTCCATATATGACATCACTAGGAATCAAATCTGACTTGAAGGAACTTTACTTTTTCATGTTTTCTCACCTGTCTCACTAAGATATTCCTTCTATATATTTTTGCTAAATACAATTCATGATACAGTTTAAAATAAAAAAGGTTTGTTTTTAATACTCTTTGATCTATTTTACAGCCAAAAGGTCCATGTGGGAGCGTTTAACAGCTCCTGAAGATGGTTTCAGTAAACTGCAGAGAGAAAACATGGCTATTATTGAAAGCTATGGTTCTGCCCTAATGGAGGTAGTCTGCAGAGATGCCTGTGATGGACATGAGATAGGACGGGTAAATAAAATTAGACCTGTTAATTTTGAACAGACTTAATTCTTTAGGGATGGGCAATTATGTCGTAATAGTCAAAATGCTATGTCTGGTATAACAAATGATTATATGATTATGTTGAACTATCTATAGTATTTCAGTAGGTTGGTTCTTATACAGTTATATTATAAAGGTATAAAATGCAATAATATATTTATTTATTTATTTATTTATTTTATTTATTAATTCAATTTATATCCCGCCCTTCTCCTTACCGGACTCAGGGCGGCTAACAGCCTTATAAAACAATGCAACAATAAATACCTAATTTAAAACCAAATTAAAAAGAAATATTTGTTATGGCCTATATAATTAAAATTTCTCTTAAAAAACCCCACTAAAATTCCCTAGGCCAATCCCACTTGTTGGAAGAGCCATGTCTTTAGGGCGCGGCGGAAGGAGGGGAGATCCGGGATCACCCGGATCTCTGGGGGTAGTTCGTTCCAGAGGGTGGGGGCTCCCACCGAGAAGGCCCTCCCCCTGGAGGTCGCCAGCCGGCACTGTCTGGCTGACGGCACCCTGAGGAGACCCACTCTGT